AATAATACCCACTTCATGGATTAGATATAATGTGTGCGGTACAGTTGCCAGGACATACTAAGTGGTCAATATGTAGATGCCTGATTAGGAGGTGACCACATCCAAAGGTTCTCTTCTCTTGGAAACCCTTCCCAAATAATACCCACTTCATGGATTAGATATAATGTGTGCGGTACAGTTGCCAGTACATACTAAGTGGTCAATATGTAGATGCCTGATTAGGAGGTGACGACATCCAAAGGTTCTCTTCTCTTGGAAACCCTTCCTCAACCCTGTTGTAAGAGTGGGCATTAGGAAACGCTACCACAGAACCAAATGATTTCTCAACATTGTGAAATCAGCACTTAATAGAATGACTTATGGATCTGAACCACCTTTGATGTCATCCTTACAGACCATATTTTACATTGTAATTGTTATTTGTTCATCTGTTCAGACATTTCTTGTCAGGCCTTACTATTTGCCAGATGTGCAAGATATAATGGAAATAAAAGATGGATGTGTACCAATGGCCTATGCTGTGGGGAAAGAAGGCAATCTGCTGAAGAACTACAAGACTGACTATAAGAAACAGGCACCCGTCAGCCTGTTAAATGAGTCTGTTTCTTGGTGCTAGACAGTAAGCAAGGGAAGCAAGGGAAGGCTCTTTCCTGCTCACTGTTTGTTCCCCAATGCCTTCTGGTACATAAGAGAACTTAGTAAATGTTTGCAGCATTAGGATAGCTACCTGGAGGAATCAGAGAAAGAGTGAAAAGATGACATGACAAAGCTGAGGGGAACCCATCCACTGAGAGGCCATCCAGCCTTAACAGGGGTGACAGAGTATATGGGCTCCAGTGGGGGGGGTATGGGAGGTGCCGGTGGGGACGGGAGTATAAAGATTATTAAGATTGATTGAGATGTTTTGTATGAAATACACAAAAATTGAATAAAAACAATTTTTTTATTTTAAAAGTTGAGGGGAACTGTAGAGTGCTTCCAACTTCCACTTTCATTTAATTTTACAGTTGAGGACACTTACAGAAAGAGGAAATGGTTCACTCAAGGTCACACAGTGTTGTGCATGGACTACTTCTCTGCCCTGCCCTCTTCACATATGAAACTCTAGATGCCCGTACTTCTGAATATGGCTGTATTTGCAGATGAGTTTTTTTAAGATGGGTTTTTTTAAAGATGAGTTTTTAAGATGAGTTTTTTAAATAGCTATAAAATATGGTCAGGATGGACCCAAATCCAATTTAATATGTGCCCTTCCAAGAAGAGAAAGTTGAGATGCAGATTAGATCTATGCAAAGGGGACCCTGTAAAGGTTCAAGGAGAGATGACAATCTTCACACTAAAGAGAGAAGCCTCAGAAGAAACCAACCTCCTGCAATCCTGACCCGAGACTTCCACACAGCCTCAGATCTAGAAGACAATAGTGTTGTAGCGTTCAGGCCTCTCGGCCTCCGCTCCTTTTTAATGGAAACCCTGGGGAACTAACACACACAGACAGTGACAGCAAAGATTAAACTGGAAGCCAGGTCTGCTGGATCGCTAACCTTCCCCCTTAAGTGAAAGCACACAGGTGGTCTGT